AGTTATCTTTCTGACCCAAGTAAAGCTAAATCACAAACAAGATATGTGTTTACACGTGGAGGAACGGCTATATTATGGAGATTTGTGAAGCAATCATTAACAACATCTACAAATCATTCTGAAATTATTGCAATCCATGAAGCAGACCGAGAATTGTATGGTTAAAGAACATGATCAATCATATCCAAGTATCATACAGATTAATTTCAACAAAAGATAGTCCAACAATTTTGTATGAAGATAATGTTGCTTGTATTGCACAACTTAAAGAAGATTATATCAAAAGTGACAGGACGAAGCATATTTCTCAAAAATTCTTTCATACACACGAGTTTCAGAAGAATGACGACATCGATGTTCAACAAATTCGTTCAAGTGACAATGTGGCTGATTTATTTACAAAAGCACTGCCAACATCTACATTCAAGAAATTGGTTCACAAGATTGGAATGCGTCGACTCAAATATTTTTAGTGATCAACATCAGAGGGAGTAGCTGTACTCTTTTTTCGTCGCTTAGGTTTTATCCCACTGGATTTTCCTAGGAAGATTTTAATAAGGCAGCATTTATCTTTAATATTCCAAAATAATTGTACTCTTTTTCCTTCGTTTTGATTTTTTTTGTCCAATTGGATTTTCATCAAACAAGGTTTTAACGATGCAGATATTTTGTAATATGTCATTCAATGGGGAGTGTTGTAAACAGTAAGTTATTGGTGAATGACAATTGTACCCCTGTAGCCCTAGATATTATTACCATATGTATCCACATTCCTTCCCTATAAATATATAACTTTGGTTCTCATTATAATACACACAAGTCTATTGACTTCTTTTATTCTCTTCTCTTCTCTTTTCTCTCTTTTTATAACAGTATCAAAGTTTTTTGGTTTTGAAATTCTTGGAAAGATCGATGTTTTTCGTTATGACAACAATGAAGTATGATATTCCTCCATTAGATCGCAATACAAGATTTTCTTTATGGCAGGTAAATATGCGAGCAGTGCTTGTTCAGATAGATTTAGACAACGCGTTGTTGGGATTTGACAAGATGCCCACAATTTAGACTATAGAGGAGAAACAACGGAGGGTTCGAAAGACCCTATCTCAAATACATCTTCATCTTTCAAACAATATTTTTCAGGACGTTTTGAAACTGTTCGAAGTAATACCAATTTTAAGGATAATTATGCACGACGAAGAGTCTTACTAGCAAGTTGCATCTAAAGCAACGTCTATATTCTCATCGTGTGATAGAAGGTATATCTGTTGAGGATCACCTAACTGCTTTTAAAGAAATTGTGGCTGATTTGGAGACCTTGAAGGTCAAATATGATGAAAAAGATTTGTGGTGATTTTGTTGTGTTCATTGCCCGCATCATACATGTCTAGACAGGATGCTATATAGTCGTGATACTTTCACCATCAAAAAAGTGTACGATGCTCTATATTCAAATGTGAAGATGAAGCATCTTGTAGCATTTGGAAATCATGGAGATGGTCTCATTGTTCATGGTAGTCGTTCGAGGTACAAGTCAAAATCTAATTTCAAAATTTGAAATTATTGCAACAAAAATGGGCAATTGATAAACGATTGTTATAAGTTCAGAATAAATCAAAGTTAATTGCAAATCAACAATCAGAAATTTCAGGAAAAACAAGTATTGTAAAAAATCCTAGCAGTGATGGAGAGCTTCTACTTATGTCTGACTACAACTCCAAACCTGTATTAATCCGGTATTATCTCCGCTCTTCAAAAAAAAACTTATTTTTATTTTTTTGTCAAATTAATCAGCATCAATGGCACCTTGCAAATGGATTCGTTCAAAAAGACAATTCTGCATTCATGGTACTAAAGCTCTCTCTCTCTATTTCATCTATGGACTATGATTTCCACTTTATCAATTTTATTTTATTTTTCTCCAATCTTGTATTTTGAGAGTGAATGTCCATAGACCAATATGGCAAAAGGCAGTCAGGGGAGCGCTATCTAGACAAATGAGTGCTTACAACATTGTGCACGTGTCAGGTTTGATTGATCCAAAATTACTTATGAAAAAGCTGAAAGACATGCAGAATTATGTTGGTTCCAATACGGACATTGTTCGAGCAACCTAGTTTTGCCCAACCATGGTACTTCATACTTTTATCGGACGAGCAACTATGAAAAATATGGTCGATATTTTCCTTTCCAACAAGCATTTCAAGACGCTTGTTTAGAATCCTCGTATGTGCACATGCCACAATTAACAGCACTGCCCTTGAGCTTCGAAAGCAGGCTGTGGGACTATCATTCAAAATGCGACAAATGCGCTAGCATTTGTACTAGATAGTCAACTTGGACAAAACCCAGGAACCAGGATGAAAAAATGTTCATTTTTACAAAAAAAATTGTCCTAATGAATCCTACTAGGGTGCCTGATTTCCTTTTGTGGCCATCTTTTTTTTATTTTTCCAGGCTGTTTTTAATTAATTGTTAATGGAATATTTAGTAAGGAAAATCTCTCTTCTACAACAATTGATTAAGGTTTTGTTTATTGCCAATGCAGTACATCCCATATAGTATCTCCAAGAAACAGTTGAATCATACAGATGCCACAAGAAAATAATCAAGGGAAAGAAAGTGAACTACAACTGCATAGTCTAATTAGTGACAGTTTTGTAGTCATTTCTTAACTCGGATACGCTGTAATATTCTTCAAGATAGGCCAAAGCTTCAGAGTTATTGTCACAAACTTTCCACAAGGACGCTAACTCACCCTTGGAGAGAGTACCCAAGACCTCACAATCATCAAGAAAATCGAGCAACTTTGAATAAAAAGAGTCGTAGTTCATCAAAAGAAAGGGAACAGGAAGCAAAGATCCGATTCGTTCAAGTTGAATCAATGTGAGAATTTCAAACACTTCATCTAAAGTGCCAATCCCACCAGGAAGGGCAACAACAGCAGTCCGATCAGAATCACTAGCTCTAACAGCTGCGTCCACTAACCCGTGCTTCCTTGCAGAAAAGAATCTGCATGTAGTTTGGAGCAGTTCACAAGCACCCATGATCTTAAACTGAGTCGATAAATACTTAAGAGACAGCATTTTACTTACCTGCATGTAAGATAGCAGTCTAATGGTAAGTACGGATGAAAATTTGTAGCCGTCCATTCTCCAGCTTCTTTGGCGATCTTAAAACCGCCAACGGGCTTCCCTGCTTGCAGAGCACCTTTAGTTACAGCATCCATGAGCCCGGGTCCAGCCCCCGACCATGAAGTACAATCCAAGAAGCTTGCAATCTGCCAAATAAAATATCAATTGGAGAGCCTCAAATCAAGCAATTATATTTCTTCATGCATCAGAAAGGGGATCTGCAATTTATTTAGGTTTATATTCAAACTTAGTAGATAAATTATACGGAATTAATGAAGTGAGACCGCGAGCATCAATTTCATTGCATAGTATGATAAACTTGCCTCTTTTCCCAACTCGAATGCCTGTGCATAATGTGGATGGTTAGGTCTGAACCTTGAAGAACCCAAATACACAACACCTCTACCAAGCCTTTGTATGAGTTTATAGCATTGTTCAATTTCCTCCTTCACCTATTTTTGAAAAATACACGTTAAGTAGAGTAGTAGCCTGTGCGCATTCGGAACCCTAAAATAAAATGAACATGTCTAGATGCAACTGTTAGGAAAAGTGACTGGACCAGTATCATAATAAACCCGGAGGAATACGTTGATCCAAAATAAAAATGGAACAAGGTAATTAGATCGGATATATAAATCTTTCTGGTTGAACTTTGAAGAGGACCCTTGTATGATCAGAGTCGAAAAGGATGATTTATGTAGCTGCTCCCAATACTTCATTGAGTTGAATTCACACATGATTCAACATGTACATTTCAAGCAAAACTCAAGAGTTTTGGCTGCTAATGATAAATATAAAACACAACACATAAAGAAACAAGAAAAGTTACCATTCGACGGCTTCGTACGCTAAAATTATGTACATATTGAATTACTAATTAATAATCATAGCAGTTGAATGAAACCATAACATTTTCTTTCCAGTATTGAAACTTTAGAACCCCCACATCTAGAAGCTTAACCTGTTGCGGAAGAACACAAACTTATTTATTTAAATTGACACGTCCTGGTATGCTAGCAAGATTCGTTTTGAAAGGGCTGAGCTGCACAATTCTCCTAAATACATTCCAACCAAATTTGAACTATCTATTAGAGATGGGATATCATAGCATAACCGCATGGATAAGCTCACACTAACCCGTCAATTTGGTATCCAATTCGATATTTTCCTCTGGAGGTATCAGAAAGGAATTGGAATGGAATAAGATTGATTCACACAGAGGAAAAGGTTTTCTATTGATTAAAACACTGTACCTGTGGATAGGGATGGAGGAAGAGGAAAAAACCGAAGATTTCACTAAGTAAATAATTGAAAATACTGAAAATCTGTCACCAAAATATACCTCAGTTGGGCTTTTTCTCTCTTGAAAATCAATGCCCTCTAATTTGCAGCAAACTAACCTTCTTGATTGAGCCTTGGTGAAGAGTTTCGATAATTTGAAATTTCCATGAAAAGACAAAAACTTTTTTCCTGTCCTTTGATGGTGATTTTGAATGAGATAACAATGGCCTAATGAATTAGAACTAGCAATAGAAAACCCCATTTTCAGAAACTCCCAGGAATAGGAGAGAGACTTGAGAGTATGCAGTTTGCATCAAATACTAGAAATGGGCGTTTGAGTTTGGGGATTTCAGCAATTACTAGCTTTATGTGCTAAATCTCAAAACCCCTACAATTTGTTCTGTGTAACTTTTTGGTGGGGAAAATTGGAACTGGGTTCTTGTTTTCTTTGTTCCATGGCTGGAACAATGCGCGATAAAATGTGATTCGATTCTTTCCAAGCACAAGATCAGGAAGGAAAAGGATTAAAACATTTTCGTCATTAAACTTATAAATTGCTATATTTTGGTCACCAAACTTTTTTATTCTAGATTAGTCATTGAACTTTTGTTTATTTAGGGTTTGTTTAACCTCTATTTTTTTTTTTTTTTTTNTTTTTGAAAAACATAAATTTTACAAATGTATTTCTAATCCAATTTTCTCTCAAAAATTCATCTGCAATATATCTACTAATTTTTCTATACCTTGTTTTTCTCATTTTATTATTTCTGTTTGTATATTTCTTTTTATTAATGATTTTGTATTATTATTTACTCATTCCCACCAGTTTCTAACATTTTCTTAGGAAATGTGTGATTTAAAAGTGATTTTTTTTATTTGAATTTACGAGTAAAATTATTTTATTAAAAGAATTGAATTAGTATAGCCACTATCAATTTTGTCAGAATTGATTTAAAGATGACAAACTTTTCTATCACCGCCTCACCCTGAAGGGAGATTTGAGGCAAGAAAAAATAAAAGATAATGATATTTAAAAATAAACAAATGTCTTAATGGGTCAGAATATAAGGATGTATCATCCTTGCCTTCAAAAAATTCTTGGCAAATTTCAGACATAGATGATATCATGATACCTAGCCTATTGACATCCCTAATTTCGATAACAAAGTGGTAATGTCGTTGAAAAGCTTTGATAATACATTGAACTTTTTGTCCAAATTCTTAGAAATACTTATTTTCTTAAAAAATTATTATTTATAAATGCATAACTATTTAGAGCTTGCTTGGGAAGAATTAAAATCTAATTGAAATTGAAAATTTAGTCGTTATTGGGTCCTACTCGTCTAATAAAAGTCAACAATAACGACTAATTTTTCAATTTTAATCTAATTTTAATCTCTACCAAACACACTCTTAACTTCAAACCTAAAGCATTGACATAATTTATAGTCACGTCATCATTTTAACAAATAAACATGAAAGTGTCATGACTAAATTAAAATAGAGTTTGGTGACAAGAATGTAACAAAGTATAGTTTAGTAACTAACAATGTTTTAAACAAGAGCAATGTTAGCTCCCGTCTGACAATGATTATTTCAAAACTCTTTATTCTATATACTTATTTTTAATTACATATTTATATAATAAAATTTTTTTCACGTACCCAAAAATTTCTATACGTTTTAATCATACATTCTCCAACAATTTACTATTCAAAACTTTGTTTTTGCCAATGGCTATCAAACGGGGGCTTAATAGGTACCAATCTAGAAGGTAACTTTGCCCTTGTTTGACTTTGTTTAGTAAAAGATTTATAGTATATTTTGATAGAAAATGATAAGATATCTGATTGAAAATGAATATAAGAAAAAAAAAAATTTAGAGAATAAAGACCATATAGTGAGTAATTGATTGTCCAAGGAAAATGTCAAAATTCCTGCAGTGTACAAATCTTGGGTCTGTATGTAATTTATGATAAATCTCGGGGGTCTCATACGAAGATCCTTTAGGCGTTTGGGTTATAGACATAAAAGGACAACTTCATATAACTGCGAAGAGCGTTGTCTGGCTTAAAATATAAGGGCATTAAAGTAATTAACTCAACTAGGGTTTTTATCTGAACTATCTACAAATATTTCTATCAAGCGGGTGTTAGTTGTACCGCCGTTTTGCCCTCTGCAATCAATAGAGGACTCACCGGAACCCTAGTAACCACCACCTGCAACCATGGGTAACAGATCAATTTATTCCCCTCCAATGTCTTTTAATTTGTTAAATACTTATTCTGTATAGAATTGATGGAAATGATGGTTGTATACAGGTATTTCACGGGACTCGATGCACAAGAGGAGAGCCACTGGAGGCAAGAAGAAGGCTTGGAGAAAGAAGAGAAAGTAATTTTCACAAGTGTCTTTTCTAATTAGTGATTCTGATTGATTGGTTGCTATGTCTAGGATGTGATTTTGTGTGTATGTCTCCTTGAATTGTTTCGATTCTATATGCCCCCTGTTGGATTATCTGAATGCATTTCACAATGTGTTTTATTGAAGATCACACCTATAATTGTATGATTTTTTCCCCATTCTATCCCAAGCTACTAATTCACTTATTCAACAACATAGATCTGAATTCTGATTAATTTACCTTATTACACCATTGAGCTATATGTCTGTAATTATTATTTGATTAATTTATTTTGTCTATTTCAAGGTATGAGCTTGGAAGACAACCAGCAAATACTAAGTTGTCAAGTAACAAAACAGTAAGAAGGGTGAGGGTTCGAGGAGGTAATGTGAAGTGGCGTGCCTTGAGGTTGGACACTGGAAATTACTCTTGGGGTAGTGAAGCTGTGACCAGAAAGACTCGTATTCTTGATGTGGTTTATAATGCATCGAACAATGAGTTGGTTAGGACCCAGACTTTGGTGAAGAGTGCCATTGTTCAAGTGGATGCTGCACCATTCAAGCAGTGGTATCTTCAGCACTATGGAGTTGACATTGGTCGCAAGAAGAAGACAGCTGCCAAGAAGGAAGGAGAAGTAATGAACTATCCTTCTTTTCCATTTTTTTTAGCAGATACTTTACCCAGTACTTTTTGTTAGACTACCAAAGTAGGCTGTATTTTTTTGTTGCTCAGAGTACATTTTACTCCAGTTAGGACTAATAAAATTAGGTATATACTAGAAGCTGAACTGTTTGTTGATGAACAAGATTGCCATGCATTTAGACCGTGAATAAAGGCTAAAGCTATATGATATATTTGGAGGCGTCATGGAGGATAGGACCAGGGAATAATTCTGAAAAACATGTCAACTAGAATTACCAAAATACCAGTTCCGTATTACATATTCAACTCTTTGCATCCATGGTTATTGTTTGATTATAAAAATATCTGTCATAACTAAGTTGGAGTTTCATAGATTAGTTGGGGCAAAATAAGAAATCGGGCAATCCTGTCTGGAAGGTGTATGAAATGTCTTGACATGATTTAAAGGGGAGAGATGTCAATTGTGTGCACATGTTTTGTAATATATGATCTAGTTTGAAATAAAGTCTAATGACAAATATCTTTTCAGAGCTTTTTGATAACTTTTGTTTACTGGGGATTTAATTAGGATACTGATGCTGCTGCTGCTACTGAAGAGACGAAGAAGAGCAACCACGTCCAGAGAAAAATTGAAAAGCGTCAACAGGATCGCAAGCTTGACCCCCATGTTGAGGAGCAATTCGGTAGTGGCCGTTTATTAGCTTCAATCTCTTCACGCCCTGGACAGTGTGGGCGTGCTGATGGGTATGTTTTGTCATCTGCATTCTTTTTCTCTCTTGGCTAGTGAAATATCAAAGGTCAAATGTCTCTTTTTTCTATGAGGGACAGATATAGAATAATGCTCATGTTTAGTTTCACAATAGATGCCAACTTAACTGCAGTGAACTGAATTTCCATTGTGTTAGCGTGCTTCTAAATTTTTTTTGTCTGACTCAATTTATTTAAGATCAAAAAGGTGACAAAATTTTGTGATCAAATTAGTAGCATGGGAAGTTCTTAATATTTTTTCCCTTGTGTGTTTCTCTAATGGGAATGGTTAATTAGCAAAAATAAATGGTATGTTGTGTTTGTTTAACAGCCAGAATTTGATTCCATATTGACTTTTATCTGGTAAATACTTCTTTTGGTCGCTTATTTGTTGGCTGCACTGCATGCATAGATTTTTATTTATCAATCCCTTTTTCCTGATGTGGTATGAAATTGATTTTGTAGATATATTTTGGAGGGCAAAGAATTGGAGTTTTACATGAAGAAACTCCAGAGGAAGAAGGGAAAGGGTACCAGTGGTGCTGCCTAATCTCAAATTTTGCCACAAGAAATGTCATCTTATTATACTTCTCATCCTTTGCAATTTTCTCTAGTTTTCAAGAATTAGACTGAACTTTTCAATTGTCATACTAAATCAATTTTGGTGGAGTGTTATGTTAAATCTTCCTTTTCCTTGGGTAATTGCATTGTTCTTACGTCTAATAAATTAGCAGCATGTTTGTATATGTGTTTCGTTTTTCATGTAAGCCTCCAATATTAGCTCCTTAAGAATCTGAGACATCGCCGATACCAAAACCCGACCAATGTGATTCAATTTTTCATACTGGTAACTATAGGCAAGAAACTGGTCGAGCAAAAAGCTAATGCTTCCCATATTACTTAATTGCTCTTTTGACAAATTTGCTTCAAGCTTTGATTTGAGCTTGTAGAGGAGCAGCATTCACATGTTTGGTATTTGGTATATGATAATGAATAAAATTAAGACAATTTACGTAGAAAGTAGAAACTCCTATATAAATTTCACAAGAGGCATTGCTACATTTAGCACAACAAATCAATTGCTTATCCTTCTAGAAGAACATTAAAAGGTCATTTGACAATCACTTCGATTGAAAAATTCACTCAAAAATAACCTATTCTGCTCCAGGCTTAGAAAGTTCTCCAGACCGGGTATTTGGTTGTGTTGGTTGAAGTTCCTCAATTTCTTTCACGACTAATGCCTTGTCAGCTTCAAATGTTTCATCCTCTGCAAATTAATCAAAGAACTGACTTATAAGTTTCATCTATATCGATTATAAAAAGCGAGATTATATGTCTCAATATTTAATAAATAAATAAGCAACCCTTTTCCAAGCAGAAGCCATCAAAGAAGCGGAGAAGCTTGCTTTTGTTAGCGACTAATATGTTGACAATTTCGACAGGTTTGTTTTGGTTAGCCACAAAAAGCT